AGAGTGACTTTTTTCCCGACATACACTAGAAACCACATTCTAAAAAAGACAGCAGAAGACTCTGGAATTTGGAATATATAATGTAAAAAAAACCAGACAAATACTGTAAAGATTGCACATTTAGTGATTAAAACTCCTTGCTTATTCCATGTCCCTTTTCTTGACTGGAATGGTATGCAGAGACAACATACCTTCATGGTTGGGTCCTTCTCTACTAATGGGCGACAATATACAGGCACGGGGACATTTTTCATGCGAGTGTCTTCCTGACCACCATTGGGACTCAGCTATGGAGGAAGAGAGGACCAAAAAGACAGTACAAAGCCATGGTAAGAGAGATGTGTAACCAACATGGCAGAACCAAACTTAATAGCCTATGAAATGGGTACTGCTGAGGCTCCATCTCACATATTGTATGAAACAGAGTTCCTGCAGGGAGGGAGCAGCCTACGTGAGAGATTACCTCTCTCCCCATGATATGGTGCCCCAGCTACAGTTAACAGAGGATACACTGCACTGCTGACAGATTGTTAACGGATGGGTTGAAAAGTCAGAACATTGGCATTCCTCCCATCATGGCCTGAAACTCATCTGAATCATACAATGCTTTGGGTTGGAAGGGACCTGGAAGATCACCTCGTTCCAATCCCCTGCCATAGGCAGGGACACCATTCACTTCCAAGCCACATTGCAAGACTCCTTCCTTGCACATGGTCTTTGACCAGTTAAATGAAGTCACAGGCTAAGAAATGAGGCTGATGAAATTTGATTTTGTGTTACTGCTGGGAAGAAGTGGGAGCAAACTGCACTGCATTTCGTTTTTACACTGAGCGATTGGTAAAGTTCTCAGAGTGTAAATGAAATATGTAACGTTCATGGCCAGTTATAACAACAAAGGAGGAAAGGCCAGGTTGGATTGGGCCTTGAGCAACCTGGTCTAGTGGAAAGTGTCCCTGCCTGTGGCAGGAGGTTAGACCTGGATGAGCTTTCAACCTAAACCAGTCTGTGATTCTATGATCAAGTACTGGGGCCTGGACAACACAGTTTAATTATTTTTGGTATAAGGTAGGTTCTTTCAGCACCTTCATGCATGTGAAGGAATGCTCCCTCCATTGACTTTGGTGGGGATACAGGAAACATTAATTTGATCTGTGCCTACAATTATCATACAAACAAACATGCATATGATACCTCTAACTGAAATATTTAAGGTCTAAGGCTAAGGTTACCAGTGGGAGAGTTACGTCTTCCCTGGTTTCACTGTGAGGGACGATGCCCCCTCAGCCTATCCAGAGAGCGGATCCTACCTGCTTGTACTTGGCAGGGAGGCTCCAGCCACAGGCCTGCAATCGCCCATCATCATTCCGCACGTGCTCCCGGACCTGGCGGTACTGTTCCCGTTTCTGCTCACGACGTGCTGAGGACGTACAGTCACTGAGGAGGGAACCAACAGTGTTACTTCTCAGTCTGATAAAAACAGAAACTGAAGGTTAAGGGAGCGCCACCATAGCAGGAGGAAACACAAGGCAAATTAAATCCATTTCTGAAAACAGATGCAGAACATCAGAGAGAGAAGAACTCTGTTAGGAGGCAGAGACAGGCATCCCACATCTCTAACTTGAGGCCAAATCCTTGTTATCTCCACTTCAATGTTCCAAAACCCCTTCGGAAACAGGGAATCAATTGGCTCTCAACAGGTTTTTTAAGTATCATACCAAGATTAAAACCAAATGTGCTGTTAAGAGAACTTTTGTCTTCACCTAAACTCCCTGTCAGTAGGGTTGGGCAAGACATTCCACCCCACTGTCCCCATGCTGCCATCACTCTCTACCACAACAGCCCTACTTCATTCTCTCACAGTCTGCAAACATGAGTTCAGAACCAGGGTTGAGGCCAACTCAAGCCTACAGTGGTCCCTGCTGAGATGAACCATCATGGCCTAGAACACCATAGCACTGATATGCTTGGGAGGACAAAGTTTGCTGAGCCCACCACCCACATGTTAACTGATGAGTGAAAGATCACAGAGATAAACCAAAACCACAAGGAACAGAAACATATTAACAGCCCAGAGACTTTTTTTAACACAGAAGACAGCTTATTTTAAGAAAAGCTCCTATTTGGGAATGCTGCAGGGGGACCTGGCTTGGCACACGGCATGAGACTCACTCTTCAGGGAAGAACTCCAGGGTGCGGCTGCCAGCGGAGATCTGGCACATGGTGTGACTGCGACGCTGGCTGAACCCCGCTGTTGTTGGAGACTTGTAGTGGATATTCACAGATGGGTAGGTCCTCTTTGCTGGTGGAGGACTTGAGGAAGAGCTAAACAGACGGCTAAAGCTAGGGACAGAAAAAGGCCCACAAATAAGAGAAAAGATACCGGGGCAGATCACACACCATAGATTCACAACAGGGGAAACAAGAGGTATGCAATCGGGGGCTGTAAGCCCTTCATGAAAACTGCCCTATTTCAAACAGAGAGCCAAGTCCTCAGTTTGATTGACATAAGGAGGTTTTAGCTTCCAGAAACAAATATCTTCTGAAAACAGCCCTTTATTAAAACTGATTGTGAGCGTATGTATGTTTCCATTGCAGGATACTCATGATCTTTTTCACCTAGTAAAACAAAACCAGTGCAGAGGTTCAGATCTGGTTTTAATTTCGTTAAGAACAAAGGAAGCCCCTGAAGATAAATGGGTTCAGCTAACAACACTTTTAGATGACATTTCACTAATATCGAAGTCTACTAAGTTGCTGCCTAAAGTAGAAATGGCAACAATCTTTTCTCAATCTTATGCAAAACACCAAAGAACTTACAACTGCCAAATGGTGGACTTCTTCTTCTCCTGGACGGATGGGTGCTCACGGGAAGCTCTAAGGACAGACACAGCAGAAGCAAGTTAATTTCAGCATCTCCCACCCAAGCTTTTGCCAACCGACAGGCCATTTCCATCAAGAAAGCCATGTCAAGATTCACAATTCATTCTGACATGTTCCAAAATAACAGCAGAGGAAGTGACAGGCGCTAGCCTTTAATGTAAGCACACACAACTATTTTATGTTTCAATGTTGACACAAAGTGACAGTGTGTTCAACTTGAAGTTTTATCAACTCCCTGCAACATTATTGGTACTAGGCTGGTAGCTACAAACCCCAGCATAACGTTTAATTCAAGCCACAGCCTTTAGAATTCATTAATTAGATGAAATGTTCTTCCCTGCATCTTCTAGCATAATTTGCACACAAAAAACAAACAAGACAAAGAACTGCCTAGTGTCTCCAAAGAAAAATGGTAACTTGAGATTTGCAACCCAGGTTCAGGAATGAGAGAAGCATCTACAGTTTGAAAAAACTTTCAGCACTTCTCAAGCTATATTTTGGTGGGGGTTCCATTGACCACAAGGTCAAACATGGCCAGGTTCTCTCCTAAATAGATAGGAATGTTCACCAACACCCAGCCTCACCTGATCATCTCTGTCCACCTGACAGCCTCCTGGAGCTCCATCAACCTCTCTTTGTATTGATTGCGCTCCATCAGAACCCGGGCCATTTCCACACGGGTGAAGCGGCGACGCTGAGCTATGGGAATGTTGTCCTGCAGAGGGGAGGAGCACTGCTTCAGCCAACAAAAGATGGAATGGGACTGATGTTAGTACAGGGCAAGTCAGGAGTCAGAAAGACAGATTTGTTAGTTCTCTTCCCACTCTGTTTGATTACCCCCAGAATTCCCAGTTAAGAGGTGCTAATTCTAGACAAGTAAACTCCAAACTACAGCCCACGGACCTCTGGGGTATTCTACAAATCCACGGAAATGAGAATAAAATCCACCACCAAATTGAAAACCCCATGCAGGGACTATTGCCAGCAAGGTGCTTTCATAGCCTGCAAGGAATTATGAGAATACACAGTGGTCCATTGGTCCAGAAGTTTAGAAATCAAAGTTTTATTTCATTAGCAAAGCCAGGCACAAGCAGCAGGGAGCACCGCATAACGCTATCCATTCCCTCAACATGACTAGAAAGGAGGCATTCTGTAATACACACTGATAAAAGTGCAGGGCACAAGAAACTAAAGGCCTTTTCCTCCCTGGTGACACAACCTGGCCTTCCAGTGAGGGCACACAGGTTAGGAGGCTTAATAAGATTCTGTTTGTCTCTTTTGAGTGGAAAAAGAAAATAACATGGCTAAGTTGGGGAAAATATTTGCCAAAAAAGAAACTCTAAGGATTCTGGGAACTCATTACTAGGAAGTGGCACTGGGTTGTGTCTAGACTGGCAATTCCCAAGCTCAGCCTGGCTGGTGAGTACTGGTGGGAGCTGGAATAGCACAAATTAACCAAGTCCCTCTCCAGCCTCCCTGGACTTGGAATAAACCTGTATGAGGAGTCAAAACAAGAAGCGTATAAATTAAAAGGAATTTTACAAACTTTTATTTTAATTAAGAAAAATACCTTCTGTCAGCTCAGCTTAAAAGAAATTCATCCCTCCTTAGCATTGCACAAGCATAACTTGAAAATTTTCCTACCTAAATTTTCAACAAACCATGCTCATCCCAGTTAAATCAAGAGAACTAGGCTCAAATTGAATATGCTCCAGCACCTTTCATAAAGTAAGAACACAGTAATATCGAAATGTATCTAATTCCCTGTCCCAGCAGAGTGACATTGACATGGAAAATCTCTGTTACTGCTTAGGTTTGGGTTGGTTTTCTTTGGCTACAGCTGGTCTTTGTTGAAAAGCCTCTAGCTTAGCCAAAATGGTTGGAAGAGCTGTCATGGAACAACCCATGAGAGTTCTCTGCCTGCACCCTGTAACAGGCAGTACTGGCTTGTGTAAGACAAATAATGATAAAAACAATGCTGCAAGACTGAATTACAGAACTAATAAAAGGCAGCTGTTACTGCTGCAGAGCTGACTGTATAACCTGGATTTCTCTGCACAATGTCCTCACGGCTTACAGCTTCCTTGCCAACGTGAAGACAAGCGTTTCTGGAGAAGCCTGACTATCACAAGATCCTGAGAGAAACCACACTGCACACTAGACTTAACTCAAAATTATGGAGAACTAGGTAAATGGTACTGAGCAAGGCACCACTCTAGCACCATTCTGCACAAACCACATTGTGCTCGGTATTGACACTCTGTCAGCTGCTCATCTTCGCCAAACTATGGTTTGAAAGTCATGTGAAGACGTAATCTCACGGCAATTAGCAACACGCATCAGCAACAACCCTCAATTTATCAGCTTTAGCTTCACTGTTAACAAAGACAGATCACTCTGCATCTCAGGACTAGTATATATGAAGTAACAGAGAGTAAGTATATAAACCCCCTTTCCCCGCAGGCATTTTAGTAATGTAATATACCAATTCTGTACAGAGATAGCTGCTTACATCCTCCACCTCCTCTTTGGGTTCTCGTCGGGCAACAATGGCTTCAGATTTCACTCTAGGAAAGAGGAAGAAAGGCATCAAACCAGCAAGTGATACCATGGCTAGCCCTGAGGTGTTTTAGGAGGAGAACCATCTATGGTATGTTCTGTCTCACAAGAAAACATTTTCAAACTGTGAGCTAACCATACAAACTATGAGATGGTTCTCTGATATTTTTCCCTCTCTCTTGCAGCACAATACTCTGAAGAGCTTCACCAACATCACCCCATTTATATGGAACATTTGATGTAAGCACCAAAATACTGACCACTGCAACAGTCCAGCCAAGTTCTATTTCAGAGCCATAATCTATGTTCAAATGTTTGATGAAATCTTCACCATGAGAAAACTGAGCCATTATCAGCAGTAAAAATACTGGCTCAAGTTCTTCCTCTGGGCTGCTTCCGTTTTCAGTGCAGTGAAAAAAGCTTCTAAGGGGAAGGACAGTTTGCCGTAATAGTAAAGAAGAGAGAGCAAATCCATGTTAATTAAACACTTAAAGTATTTAACTGAGTTGTTTCAGTTTCTTTAAAGTCCATACCAAGGTGCAGTCATGCAATCCCATTTGAATTACAAGAACTTTTATTACCAGTGTAAAAAAAAAAAAAAAAAAAGCTGTCTCCTAAAAGCACACACTTGTCAGTTAGAAGTCCATGTCCCTACAGTGTATTATATTTATTATATTATGCATATTATATATTTTATGAGACGCAATAGACATTTTAAAAAAATCAGACTTATTTCCACTGCTTGTGAGCCTACTTTCATTTCAGACATTTTGAACACCTAAACGATCAGTCTGTGTTATTCTCGGTCATTCTGCGCTCAGATTACAGAGGCAACCTTCCACACTCCAGCTGCAAAACAAGCATATCCTCTTCACTGAGATACTGCAGTGCAAGTCAAAACCTAATTATATTGCTTTAAGCTCCATGGGGCATCTTTAGTTTTATGGATGTGAAATCATCACAGGCTTTACTAGGCATTCAGGCTTCGGTTTCTCTAGATGGAGTGGAGAATAAGAAGTGGGATCTCTCCAAATGCTACCTGCATAGGACTTGAAAATCTCTTCTGTCTCTCTTCTCATTTTATGACCAATGAAACAATTTCCAATACTGGCATTTAAATCTTGTTTGTGGGAATCTGTATTAGCTCTTTCATTAACTGAATGAGCATTCATTCCTCTCAGAGCTATCTTGGCTGCTGTGAGGATGAAGCTCTTGACAGTTTGCTTCAAAACTGTTGGTTTTGAAACTCTGTTTTTGGGGGTTTTTTTACTGCAAATTGAAACTCTGAATGCTTCACTCCAGGAAGCCTGGATTTGCTGCAGAATCATATTCCTGGGGAGGAAAACTGCAGGTTTTCTAAGGTTCAATAATCCATTTCAATTCAGTAAAAAGAACATGAACCTAAAAATATCTCCTAGCCAGCTACCACCAGCCTTGAAGTACTCTGTAAGGTACCCTGAACTCCAATGCTAGCCTCCACAAAGGGAACACAGTAAAACTAGCAGAGGAGGTGGGCTTAACACCCATGTCCTCCCAGCTTCCTTTCCACTCACCTTTTCAGTTCCTCCTCCAGCTCCTTGACTCTGGTTTCCATTTTGGCTTTGGCTTGCTTTGCTGCTTCAAGCTCTCCCTTCAGCACTTCCTGCTCTCCAGACAGCTGGTCCACCTTGGCAATCAAATCATTCTTCACAACGTTCAAAGCATTTCTTAAAGGTGTGAAATTGACAATAAGCAAAAATGCCCAAAACCAGCAGCTGTCCATAAGAGAGACCTGGAACTAAAGTTACAGGCACTACAAGGACAGTTGAAACGGATGTATTTAAACAATTCAGACCAGCTATAATTCATAGAAAATCAGATTTGGGCAAGAAGGAGCTGCAAGAAGAACACAGAATCACCAAAACTGGTCAGGATGAGGTTTGGCCAGTCCTGAATCCTGACAGACAGACCAACATCTCCTCAAGAAGATGGGAGAATATTGCAGGAAGCAGGTGTAAGGGTAAATTATCACCTGTATAAGGCTCAAATCTATTTTTAACAGACAGGATCTGAAATACACCTTTTAGAACTGCTATTATCTGTAATTGTAGATAATTGTGGATGATGCTGATATAAATAAGCATTTCCAATATCTTAAATTTTTAAGTATCTTAAAATCTTTAAAACCAGCAGCTTCCTATCATACAAAGTTCTCAAACTCTGCCCTCAGAGTACTCTACCTTCCTCTTATTGGCTGCTTAGCTTTATTATCTGGTTTGCCAGCCTTTCTCAAAAAATAAGTCCACTACATTGTCTGCTTCTCCGTTATCAACTATTTAATCTTTGAAAACTCTTCTCAATAGCAAGAAAATTTTCTTTCCAAATGGCAAACCTTGCAAATAAAAACTTAAAATCAGCAATATCCTCACAGAGGCTCAGACCCACATCAAGATTCCCAGTGAAGTTAATTAAAAGCTTGGCACCAATTTCAGTTGGGATCAGACCCTAACAGCACATGCCCAGAGACTTCACCCAAGTGCCTGCAGAAAGGAAACTCTTAGGAAAGTTGCTCAGATGAGCAATCCCTCCTCTACAACTGAAGAAACCACAAGTATTCAAGAGAACCTCTGAGATAAACGAGCAAGCCCCTGTGAAGCAGGAGTTTTGTCCAAGACCTACTTCAAGATGACATCTAATATATAACTCAGCAGGCAGTTCAGAGCGCGCAAATTCCTTACTTGGTCTCCAGTAGCTGCGAATTCTCCAACAGCAGATTCCCCACTTCCTTGCCCATTCCTGTAAAGAAAGGCCAGGCAGTTTTCACCTGCTCTCCTAGAAACGTGAAGCTTGTGTGGCACAGCCTGACTCATGGTTGAGGAAGACAAATCACTTTTGTTAGGCTTCCCTAGGCTTCTGTATCCTGCTGTGGAGAGTGGAGTGCCTCTTGCTGAAAGACCATGCAGCACAAGCAAAGACACCCATGTGTACTGTAAAGAGCCCAAATGCAGACCTAGCTTCTTACCCCAAACTTTCACAGGCTCCTTTGAGAGGGACAGAGAGGAAAACTTCACTAATGCCAATCAGAGCCAAGTCAGTAACTCCTGGGTCATCCATGAGCTACTGCAACCACTTTTTATCATCACTCATACCAAAAGAAGGAAGAAGTTCATGGGTTTTTCATAGAGGACAGCAGAACACTCTCCAAATTGCTGGCCAGATCTGCACATCAGTGGTTTTCTTTCTTTCTCAGTATAAGCCAAATTTTCTGTTTCTCAGTACCTATTTGGAATCATGGTTGCGACCAGTTTCATGCATATGAAAGGCTTCCCATTATCAGCCTTCTACTAGAGCAATTTTAATAGGACTTCATATTGTCCGTTGCTCTTTCTACATTTAAAAGTTTTCTCACACATGTTTAAAATCTGAAGTCTCAGTCCCATCACTCAAGACCCACACTCGAAACACGTACATCAGACACACTGCACTTGCACTTGGACATCAACATACAATGACTGCAATATGCAGACTGGGTTGCAAGCGCTTTGAAAAATCTAGGGTAAGTGTGAAGGTCAAATTCAGTATTTCACAAAACCAAATGGAAAGGAATTTAGGGACCAAAAGCACATCTGGATTGCTTCTTGCTGCCAGGAACTTGCTGGTTCCCAGGGTCAGCTTCTGTCTTACAATGGGGAACAGAGGCCGCTTGAGAACTGAAGGCAGAGGCCTCTCCCTGTTGGGGAACAATGCTGAAGGTTGCAGCTCATTTCTCACCACAGATCCCAGAACATGAAGAAGTCTCACAACCACCAGTGTGTGTGCTGAAGTGCTCCTTGTCCTGCCCTCTGAACTACCTCTTCCTTCACAGCAAAGACATCAACAGTTTTCATGATCCATTATTTGATGATTGATTGGTTAATTAATATTTGCAATAAAATAAAAACAACACAAACATGAAGTAAATGGAAGTTAAAGAAAACAAGGTAGCATACAGGAAGTGAGAACACATCACAACACTCCTCTTCCCATGGTTAAATGGGATGAATTTATGATGGCAAAAGAAAATTCCCAGCAAGAATGAGTAAGCAGCAGCATTTTCAAGTAACTTTTGGAAAATCAGCAAGCAGATAATTAATCACTTTGATGTTTCAGGCAATGTGTTCACTGGATGCTATGTTAAAGAATACTGAAAATAGCAAAAAAGACACTAAATGCAATGTAAACTCAAATGTATTTTTGGTTTGGTGAGTGACCTATAGCTCTTTTTTTGTGGCATGACATATGTTGATTAGAAGACCAAGAAGTCATCAGTTTATTAAACTATTTTCTTTTAAATTATGTTCCTTTTTAGTGATTCTACAAATGATCAAATATTCGGCCAGTAAGACATTAAAATGGCACGAGGACATTATAGGTGCTGAGGGACATCACGGGCAAGAGTTCAGCCCCAAGTTTTTTGGACTAAATCTTTTTCTTTCCCATCCTTGAGTCATCTATCCTTCTCTGCAGCAGTTCTGGGGAGAGAAAGGAATTCGGTGAAGAGAGTGAGCTATCATACCAGAACTAAAAGCCATATAGCATCCAAACATCAGCATCCTCAGCACACCTTCTACCTTATTTGTGTGTGACACAGTGACAGCCCAAAGCTTTAACCAGTGAGAGGTCTGAAGGGCTAGTCCTGCAATCAAGAAATGGATGAAGCCTCCCAGAGCCATAGAATGGATGGCAGAAGATAACCTTATGCAGGCTGTAAGGGGAAGGTCCCATTCTTGGGAAAAAAACCCAAAAACCCATGGAGTGACTACAAGAAGATCTCTTTACTCCTTTGTGGCATAAAGCAAAGGGAAGAGACGCCTGGACAGAGCCCTAAACAGAGCCCATCCTACACTGCCACCTTCCATAGCCAGGTAGATAGTATGAACCATCAAAGTGGATAATCAACCACAAGAAACAGAGGAGAATCCCCAAACCACCGCTAATGACCAGCTGCATCCTGCTTCTTGGAAAGGTGATACCACCATCACAAAAAAACAAACCAAGGAAATGCAAGACACATGGAGGGATGTTGAGTGAATGGAAAAAGTTTAGGGAGGAAATGCACATATTAAAAAAAAAAAAAAATGGAAAAAGAAAAAAGGCCTTCGCCTTACCAAAGAAATCATCCCGTACTATGAGAGCCATCCCATACGAGAAAGGGAACAGAAAGAGATGGGGACAAAGGGGAAGAAAGGAAGAGAAAAAAAAAAGCAGCCATTAAGTACCAGTCTGTAAATAGCAAACAGAGCAGCTCATCAGCATGTGTACATCTGTGTGTGGTGCCGGTAGAGGTGATGCTCAACAGTAACTAATCTACACTTGTTTTGCTGCAGCCTGGCCTAACAGGGACTTACACCTCAGATGTCAGGACAAGCTTGAAATGAGTTTCTTTGATCTTCATCATTTCCCCTGCACTAGAGGTGTTTGAGTTTCCCATCCCCACAAGAAGATGGTTCAACAGACATTATGAACAAGGAGAGGGAAGGACAGGGGCAGGAGGAAAACAAAAGGGGGGTGGATATCAAAGCTCTCATCTGGACTTTTTGCGCAGGCACAAATCAACCTCTGCACTCTCACAAACTCCAACTCAACTTCAGCAGGCGGTTTTCTGAGAAAGGTCCACGAAAAAGTGGCTCACAATAAAAACAGTTTGAACTAAAAGAAAGGATGATGCCATCCCTGTTGTTTGCAACCATAGAGATGCTGGGTAAAGGAATGTGACAGAGCTCATTACCGCACAGTATTATGGTACTGCATCTGCCTTTACTACAGGGAAAACTTCATCCAGTTTGCACTGAAATCAAGAGATCCCCCTGACTTCATCAGAAATTGCATCAGTTTCAAAAGCCCAAGTAGGATGGAAAGGTGCAAACCTTCTCATGACAGAGCATGGCCCTAAGACAGTAAGTCTCCTCCGCTAAAACAAGACAGAGCTATCACAAGTCCTGCCAGAAAGGCCAAGCTTCCATGGAAGACAGAGGCTGTGCCACTCTAATCCATCAAGAAAGTGTCTTTAATATTACTACAGCTATTCTGGAAGAAGGCCAGTGCAAATCCACTAACCCATAGTGACTACCATGGACACAGAGGGATTCCTCACAGCATGGTTCGCGGAGAGGACAGTGGGAACCTCACTCAGTTCCGTGCCCACCCAAGCTCTGCTCCAACTATAGCACCCGTCCTGACAGGGAAAAAAAACCAGTTTGAGCCCCAAGAACTTGAGTGACAGGCCAGTGTAGCACAGTGGAGCAAACCTGCATAAAGCCACACAAGAAAAGCTTATTGAAAGGCAATAGGTGTGAGCATAGAGTGGGGACATCCTGTTGCCCAAGGACCCACCGGTGCAAGGCAACCAAGCAAGGTGGAGGTGGGAGAAGTCTGCAAAGCCAGTCGTGTTTGGACAAGAGCAGGGGAGTATCACACGTGTATACCACATCATTCGACCTCAACAAGGTAAAAAGAAACAAGAAAGGAAACTGAGCAAAGAAGATACACACCTGAGAACTCCCCTATGGGCCATGTCCAGCGAAGCACAGAGAGACAGGGGAAAAAAGGAAGTGAAAAAAGGGTCAATCAGTGACTGAAACCAACAAAACAAAAATTTTGTTAAAAAAAAATCAACAATGATTCAGCCATTTCAATGTCAAAAGGCATGAAATAGTAAAGACAGGACCTGCCATGACTGTAGATGGCATGACTCTACATACAGGACATAAAAAAAAATAAATCAAGGGAAGGTAATCTGTGGTACAACTGCAACCACATGCTCAGCTACCCCCAGTTTTCCAGACATGAATCTCAGGTAATCACATCTTCCCAGATAAGCCTTTATTTTCCCTTTATTTTCTTTTTATTTAGTTGTGTATCACTAAATGCAGAAAAGCTAGTTCCCACTACCTTCTCCTTTCCACTCCCCTTGTGATTTTAGCAACTACATCTTCTGATAACACATGACTTCTTCAGTGATACCTCAGCTTCCAGGCGACAATTAGATGCATTTAAAAAATCAGGGAGTGGTGGTTTCTTTTTTCACAGTGCAGTGCTGGGACTCGGTTTGATAATCCCATTTAGTCTATGAAATATAAACTTACCGCTAACATAGCTGAATTTCTGTCTTCACAACAAAATCCTGTTATTTCAAGGGATGTTTAATCTCCAAAGCAAACACAGTTGGGCATCCTAAAGCTGAAAGAAAGGACCTGCCCATAGTGCATAACCAAACTGCTAGTGCTCCTTCGCAGAAACTCTTTGGGTAGGGAAGCAGGAAGCAGGAGATGGGAGAAGGGCAAGCCTACCCAGGATCAGGAGGTAAGAACTTGTGATGAGAATCATGGAATCAGGGAATGGTCTGGGTTGGAAAGGACTTTAAAGCTCATCCAGTTCCAACCCCCTGCCACAAGCAGGGACACCTTCCATTAGAGCAGGTTGCTCCAAGCCCCTGTGTCCAACCTGGCCTTGAACACTGCCAGGGATGGGGCAGCCACAGCTTCTCTGGGCAACCTGTGCCAGCGCCTCAGCACCCCCACAGGGAAGAGCTTCTGCCTAAGATCTAACCTGAACTTCCCCTGTTTGAGTTTAAAGCCATTTCCCCTTGTTGTGTCACTTCAGTCTCTGATGAAGAGTCCCTCTCCGGTATCTGTATTAACAAGTGAATATGCAGAAAACTAGTGTTCCTAAGGCTGTAGTAAGAAAAAAGGGAATTTGATCTACAGTTACCACTAGTAAAAAATCGTTTGCACTCCATATTTTTCTCCAGAATACTTTCTATACAAACTCACGTATATAAAGCAGTATTAGATGCAGCAGGGGGAACCCACATAAATATTATTATTTTATATACAACAATTGCAATGAAGAGTGCAAACTGTGTACCAAGAGATGATGGCTGCTTTGCAGATATCCAGAAGGAATGAGTTAGATTTTCCATTCAAGAAACAGACTTGCTTGCCAGCTACTGCTCAAGGGTAATTTCAGTATGATCCTTCTACTTTAAAGTTCTCTTTAGTGAGATTTCTCTTCCTTTACGAAACCGAGTCCAAACGCAGAGAATAGTCTTCAAAGATTGATTGCCAAGTTCTGTGAGACACTAGAAGTAGTATTAAGATTTTACTTAGGTAGTGTAATCTCACTTTATCTTTTGATTTATAGGGAGAAGTCCAAATATGACCCAGAAAGAGAGAGAATTCTTCTCGCTTGTGGATCTTTTTTCTTACATCACATCCATAAAACACAATTTCCTCTATGGCTCTTCAAACTCAAAGGTACAGCAGGAAGAGAGAAAAATTTCTCTAGCAAGAAAGGCAGAAGTTTGAGTAATTTTGACAGATGTGTCAGTACTAAGATGTAGCCTTTTGCTTCCACCTTAGTGAAAGAAGACTTAGTGCCTGCTATAGCACAAAGCCAAAAAAAAAAAAAAAAAGGGCAAATCTGATTTCTTGGTCAGAGATATGACATCTCTCTGCTTTCCTCTGTACAATCCTGGCAACATGTGTTCATCAACATTTCTAACAGAAAACTCACAGAACTACCCAATTTCATCACTGCCCATCTCACAGCTTTGAAAAGGAACCAGGATAAGCTTTCCTGTTCTGCTAGCCCACAGTGTGATGACTTGCAAGTGTTTTGCTGTTCTGCTCAAACCACAACATTGTCCCAGCACAGAAATGTCATCTTCGTAAGCCACACTATGTGGTCTTCATAAGCCACACTTACACAAGCACTGTTCAACTCAAAATCAACCACTGGCCTTTAAGCAGCTTTTTTACTGGAAGAGGTGAAGCACCTTTGACTTCTGCTGTTTTGACTTTGACTGTTACTGTGGTGATGGACCTTGCGAAGTTTGTGCAACTAAAATCTTTGGCCCTTTGAAAATAACAGTCTGGATTTGTCACTGATCTTTGTGTCAGACTACAGGGTAAGCCAAAGGGGAAGTGGATTTCCAGAAGGCATGTTTCCAGAAGTGGAGAACAGGTCGTCCAAAGCCGTTCATACACCAAGCAAATCATTTTCTTGATGAGTAACTCTTAGAAGCTGACAATCCCTGGTGCCCCAGCCATTTGGGGGAGAGAAGGAAAGCAGTGGAAGATAGCCATAGAATCAGCTATGCACACTCCTAGATAAGCATTGAAAAGGAAGCACCTGAGGACCAAGATAAAATTGATGGGCAATGGCAAGATTGGTTTTGACGCTTTGATTCTGCTAGAAGAGTTCCTGGTAAACATATGAGGGCTGGCTAACCACCATTCATTCCATAACAGATAGATGAAGCTTTAACCATCACAGGTAGTTCCTATTGTTATCTGCACTTCAAGCAGTAGTCCCAGTCCTTCTGCAATGACTACTAGCATCCAGATGATTCTCAACCTGGAAATCTTTCTTTTCCTTCTAAGTTCTTAATTTTCTAAGTATCTGTACATGTTGCCACCAATGGCAGGCACAGAAAGCCTATGCATTCCTCCTGAATCTTCTGTAGGCTTTTTTCTTCTGGCAATTTCGAGTTGGAGGTGAAACACAGTGTTTTAACACTTCAGGCAACGGTCATCAATCCATGCACAAAAGCTCTCCTGCACGTTGCAGGGCTAACACCATGCTTCTAAAAAAAACCAAACCCCAAACCTATCAATATCAAAAAGGTACTGCAAGCATTCTGATGATAGTTTGGATCTTGTTCTTACATTCCAGTCACACTATTACCTACAACAGTAACAATTTCACAGATATTTTGTTTTAGATAAAGCAAGAAGTATGGCATTAATCTCCTTTCTGGAAGTCTTCAGCCCACATCTTCATGGTGAAGTCCTCAGCGAATAGGGCAAAATCTATCCTCTCTGCAGAAACACAACTTTTAGAGGGTCCCAATACAAGACTTGTATTCAAAGCTGATACAAGTATCTTCCTAATTTAATTTCTGCAAAGGTGAACTGCTGCCAATCTGCGACATGATTCAGCTCATCCTCTTCTGGACACACATACAGAACCAAACTTATAAGATTATCCATAAGCAGTTCTTAAATCAGTAATCACCTAAAAGGAAATGTACGCTTTCAGATCAGATCTCTTGCATAAAAGGCAAGTTGTTGGAGTCCTCATGTCTCCTAAGTCTCCTTAAATCAAGCACTAAAATGAAAAGTGAGCTACACAGTTATAACTTTGTCAGCTGTCCGTGTTGTCTGACTATTCATATTGCTCTGATTCAGGAAAAGTCCGTAGGACTTAAATTCTGTCACGAATTAAGGTCTAGATAGTCAAGAGTCCAACACCAGAAAGTATGACAAGAGCTCAGACTGCTACCTGAGGCAAAGCTGCTTCTCTGACTGCTTCAAAGTGCAAGTCAGGAATACAGAATACAACCAGACTTCAGGCATCACAAGCTCTTTCAAAATCAGCCTAAAAAGCGAATTACTCATCTCTTAGACTGACTGTAAAAGGGTAAACTGCAATATAGATGATAACATTTCCATACCATTTAAAATTTCAAAAACTTAACAAAAGGAATTACTTTCTCCCAAATTTTGAACAAAGTCTTTATTCCAAGTGAAATTGCTAGTGTGTAAAATTACTCAAAATTTGAAGGAGGAAGCAGAAGGAGCAAATTTTGTCTTCAAGCTGTTTGTGTGGGAGAATCCTGTAGAAAAATAACTTATGCACATAAAGACGACCCAAATAAAGGTTACCCAACAGTTTAAGTTATTTTCTAAGTAAGCATTACTGTACTGCAGGTACATATTTCAGTCAAATAATGTCTCAATTTCCCATGCCATTTTTTTTAAATCTAAACATTCAAGTTCGGGGGTGGGGGAATATTTAAGTGCCTCTAGAAGCTTAATAAGTTGTCGTTGTACCAGAGAAAACAGAATAGTTCTGAACAGGTTTTTACCTAGCAGATCTGCTCCTTCATCAACATCTCCGATAACCTCGGACCCTGCTGTGGAGAGTTCATGATACAGAGAGTCTGTGTTGATGCCGAACGCCTTGTTCACAATCCCCTGTGTTGGGCTGTTGTTGGAAGAGAAAAAATGAAGGACTCTTGTTACTTGTCAACATTGAAGCTGAACATTTCTGAAATACTGAGCATCCCAGACCACTACGATCAAACCCTGAGAGCACATTCCACCCCTTCACCATAGGCTGATTCAGAGGACGTACTAACTAAAGAAAAAAGAATGGTTTATTCCCCGTATCAAGAGCAAGTACCTACCACATACAAAGCCAAAACTCACACACCTGACCTCCTTTTAAATCGTAACAGTTAATGACTATTCAATATTTGACAGAAATATTCAACTCACAGAAGCTCTCAGCTCTGACTTTTCTGCAAGGATTCCCACACTCCTATCGGTTTAGATAGCAACCTTACATAGCAAGATCAGATAAAGACTCAAATGCCGAAAAGAGCAATGGTCTTTTTTCCTTCACCAACTAGTAAGTGAAATCACCCCGAAGGTTTAGTTTCTTTTTTGGGCGAGTCTATGTACTGAAACACTTCTTCACATGTCAACAAAATATATTTCATGAAAGGTAAATCAAAGTTAATGTTTTCTAATCATACCATACAGGAGCACATTTCCACCTCTTACTGCCATGTCCACTTTGCACCTCACAAACCTTTTGTTGCTACACCACTCTGTCCTCTGATCTACCAAGTCAAATAAGCCCAGTTCTGGCCCAGCTGGACAGGTCTTTGTGCAAATTACCACCAGACATTTGCCACCTCCAGGGAACTCAAAGGAAGTCAGAACCCCTCATGTCACACTCAGCAAAATATATGGACTTCTAAAACAGCTGTACCTTGAACTCAGAGTGAGCCACAGCATCCATTCTTCACTCCTCCTAACAAGCAAAACGGCACACAGTGAAAATTCATAGTCAATACCTGTTCCCAGTGCGTTCCAGGCGGGGGTCTTGACACATATCCAGCTCTGGAGTAGAGTCTATGATGTCCTGAACATCGGACCACTCATCACTGCTGCCCATTCCTAGGTAAGACAATAGATACGATCTTTAGTATCAGGACTTACACAGGATGGTGTTCCTTGAAGGGACTTTTGCAGCTTTGAATATCAACATTTCAAAACTTTACAGTGTCAAGTCTTAAAATAGGAACAGAATGTGGCTGATCGTCTGGAGTCATAAATGTGCCAGTGCTGGGAAGGTGCCCTCACAATTCAGAGCAGGAAGACCTTAAGCATCTTCCGCCCAGCCCAGGGTGTCACCAAAGTCACTGGCCTGAATCCTCATTAAAGAGTGATAACCAGCAAAACTTCACCCATTAAATGACAAATAAACCTTTTCTTTCTGTGAATAAAAACTCTTCAATCACCGTGCAGCTTTAGCTGAGATTGAAGACAACACAGTGATTTTCTGTATAGCTTCACAGAGATTACTATAGTTATGAATCAGCACTATTTTAGTTCCAATAGAAATAAAATTTCAATACAAATTCTTAAGTCTACAACTGGTTTAGATACCCGTTACAGTGAAATTACACTTAAAATCTGATATATGAAATCTGTTCTGATTTCTCTATAATCTACAGCCTGAAGCTAGTATTTAAAGAACAAGGAATTTCCTCCTCTTGTCAAGTCACATTTATTACCAAACTGTTCCGAAGCCCAGGCTTGCACCTATTCTAAACAAGCAATATGAACACAACGTCTGTTCACACAAAAAATTTTCAAAGGATTAAAGACCTACTTTGTAAACTGCATTAGTCCCTGTAGGATGTGAAATTTTTGGCATTCCCAAACAGCCCCAGAAGCCAAATATCAGAGCCTATGACAACTTGTGTGTTAATTTTACTCTTTTAGGCTGGCATTGTGCTCCAGCTGGCAACAAATTTCGTATTTGAAGACAAAGCATGATATGTATCAGTTGCCAAAGCAGGCATCCATACACCAGTGGTTCTCAAACTCAGAGAAACAGAGGTTTCCTCTTCTTTATTTTTTCGAGATCAGAAGCTTTTCTGCAAATACCTTTAAATGCTGCTTTTGGTACTTCAGCTCTAAGGCATGTACATCACTGACATGATTATGCATTTCTAATTAAGCATATAAGATGTGTAAAATACATAATTAAAATTCAAGTATCTGTGTTTCTCTTCAGCATGAAGATCTGATTTTGCATTACATGTGAGAAACAGCTGAAAGGTTGAACATGCAGAGCACACAGGAAAGATAGAGTATCTGCCTTGAGCTGATTCCACAATATGGTACTTCCACCAAGTAAAAAGCTTTCACATGCTAAATGATTTCATAGTTGCACACATACAGAAAACACTTTGACTCAGGAAAGCTATTGATGGTAAATGACCTTGTAAAGCAGCAGCTGTAAAAATAAGGGTAAGAATTTATAGGGCATTCAAACTACTGATGACCACTCTCAATTTCTCTGATACCAGTGCTTATGCTTGACTTGCCTTGGCCAGGATCACCAAACAGATCACAATCTAACAGTGAATCTAATCTAATCATGAAGAAGCTACATGCTCAGATGCTAAAAGAAATACAGAATGGAACTCAGCCATTGCAATTCCCATTCAAATACTACAACAAAAGATGTTACATGTTGGTTTATAGTCTTAATTTGTTGGGAACCAGCCTGGGAATGTTAGCAGAATTTCCTCTGTATTATTCAGGAAAAATGATGATCATCTGGCTCAGATGCTAACCTCAGAGACCAACAATCATCCGTGCGCTCCTGCACAGATTTCCCTTACGATCTTCAGTTAGTTTTACAGTCCTTTTGTATATGACCCGTAGAACAGACCATTTCTCATTTCTGAAGGCTGCTGCAAGCCTAAACACATGCTCAGACACTACACTGGCACAGATATATGAAAAAGCAAAGAAAAGATCTTTTATTATCTTCACTGTATTTAAACAGCCTGGCGCTAAAGTGTTAGGTGGTGGCTTACCTGACAAGAAATCATGAATTCAAGTTATTAAAGGACTCCAGGAAGGGGAGAGAAAACAACCATAACTTCCAAAGATTTGGGGGGACTAAAAGAAAACAGCTTATTTAACTAAGAAAAACAGCTGGATATAATTGCTATTTTAAACGCATCAAGGCATGGGATAAACACACAGAAGGGAAAATAATTACTTAACCTAATTGACAAATTAGGCATATGAATAAATGGATATAAAATACTTACAAATAAGCCCAGACAGAAAACTAAATGGAAGCTTTTAACAATTGTATCGATGAGGTCCACAAGCAGTTTTCCAAAACCTCAGTTAGACTAAAAAGGGACTTGACTGCTCATGGAAGAGGTTCTATGACATGGATGAATGCAACTGCAGGGAACTGAACTCAATAACCTATTCCCATACTGTCTATTTGTGAAGCTATTCATATTACTGATGTTTTAAAAATTTGCTACCCAGGAAACTGCTAACATCCCATCAGCCCTGCCTCGCTCGTGTATCTTTCCAAGTAAGACTTCCTCAAACTGTATACTTTTCATACCGATTACCCTCGGTCTCCCAGCCTCTTCCAGTAACACAGGGACAAAAGCATTGGGAATTCAATTATTTTAATGATAAGTACCCAAGCTCCAATTTCCATACCTATGCTGACATTCCTCATCTCCTGTGTGACCTGGACTTCCATGTTCCGGCTGTTCCGCTTTTCTCGCGCTCTCTTACTGCTCTTGGTTGTGCCACTGTATTCGCTGATGGGCTGGATGCTCTCATTCAAGGGTGTGACAGCAGCAGAGGGCACAGATGATGTGGGAGTGTTGGACTTGGTTCCAGTGGTGCTCGGTGTGGCAGCTGCTGAGGACTGCCCAGATTCGGACATTTCATCTTGAGGACACTATGACAGTTCCAGGGTGGGGGAAGAACAAAAAGGGAAAAGCACAGCTATACATTTCAATTAATCTCCCATTTGTTGGTGTATGGCTGCCTTAAAGCATTATGGAGAATGAGTCTTGCTCACTGTACCAGCTACATGTCCAGTGCTTGCTGGTGACATTAGGCACTGCAACCACAATGAAGCAGTGAGTTCTCGTGCTGAACTCAACAAGCAAATCCCACCTAGAAGAAGACTGATATCCTTCCTCCTTTACCACTAAACCTTGTTCTTCACAAATCACATCAGTATGTGATCTTTTCATCATGTATCTTGTGAAAGGTGGCTTTATCAGAAGTGAAAAGCACTTGCAGCTCATACTGACTGCAGTGGAAGCTGAAGGGCTTTGACACTTGCAGTAAGCCAAACCAGCATTTCCCAAGACTGGAAGGCAACATGGATATTGCTTGGGAAGAATCTGAAGTGGCCTCTTAGAGGTCCTGGATGATGTAATTACTCTAAGTCATCAATGGAACCCGGATGAGAGAACATCCAAGTGATTTTGACACTAAACTGCAGCAGTAAAGCGGGTACCAAGCTGGGATGGTCTGACTTTGCTAGCGCAGGAGACCTGTGTCCCCATACCACCTTACTCAGAAGCTAGTCAGGCATGGGTCTAGCTTGACAACACAGTAAAAACCGGCTGGTCTCCCCACTTCCAAATGACAGGATGACAAGATCCAAGAATTCAAAAATGAGAAAATGATAAATCAGCAAAGGAGATGGATTCCCAGTGTGAAATGCACACAAATGGCTCTCAGTTTTACAGACATTACAGCCCCATTTCTCATAATACACCTCTTGAAAAACATGGGAGGTTTCAAGGCTCTGTCAGGATTTTATACCATGAGACCTGTTTGTTAGCACTGCTTCAGTCAGCCAATTAATGTCTTGACCAATGCTGTGATAACTCCCAGACCCAAATGACATCTACCCATTCCTCATGGCAGTCCACTGTAATCACTGCCTGCAGGTAGATGACAAAATTCATGTTGCAAGTTAGATGTGATAATGAGTTGCAATTGCGTGCAGTGACATCCAGCATCTGCACACACAGACCCTGCTTGAATCTTTACTATTTGCCTCTCCCCTCCTGTGCAAGTGCTAGAAAGATCCTGCTCTGAGCCTCCCAACCTTGGAGCTGTGACGCTGTTTCGCTTCATTGATTTGGAAGTCTTGTTCTCTTGTTCTAATAGTAACTGCACAACATGACAAAGAAATTCAAAATGGGATGAGAGAGAAGACTGAAAAAAAAGGTGACTTAACCCTTTGCAGCCATGTGGAGTTTTTTTAATTTTAATCTGTAATTTTACTAAGATCTTCCTTTAATTAGACTGGCCTCTGTATGCTTATCTTACTGTATCTTACAGTACACCACACTGTGGAAGTCAAAGGTTTTACACTGCATCTGTGCATTTACATTGGAAATCAAGACTTTTTAAAACTCTGTTACCATTAAATACAATCCACATTCTGTATACAGCTTCTGCATTGTCTGTCCAAACAGCACCCACATTTCTACACTCAATTCATCTCCCTGCACATTTGCCAATTTTAGCATTAAGACTGAGATGAAGACTTTTCACTTAGGCTGCTGCATGTGATAACCACACTTCCCACCTCTACTTCAAACTCTTGTTTCAGGAGCTGCTTTCCTAATATGTAAAGAGACAACAAAAAAAAAATCAAACCAGGTTTTTGAGAACCAATACAATCCAGTAAGCCTTGTACTACTTCAACTGCAGTTTGCCTACTGTGCTTCCTAATGTATAAAGTGACAAAGAGATTCAAGTGTGAAGTGCAACCATAAAACCTACTTCCCCAAACAAAACTTCTGTTGGATGAAAGGATTCAGAGATGTTCTTATACCCACTGTAAGTCTGTAAGAATAACCAAAGATCACAGCAGGTGGCTGAGCAACTTAGCACTTCAAAAAGAGAAACCCAGGTGGGCCCACGTCATCCCTTGAAGTAGATGCTATTCAGAAACCCTGTATCATCAATGTCTATAGGGCACTATTTGCATCAGAGATATCCTCTATCTTCTTATTGACATAATCTGGCCCTCACCCAGAACACACCAGTGAGTAAAACTACCCTGGTCTTTCACTTACTCGTTGGTTATACATCTGAGTTTTATATTTACCTCGAAAACATACTTTATCAACCTACCAGCCTGCGCTGGAAAAATTCCTCCCAGATGTAAATACTACCAAGGCACACCTCTTCACAGTCCAAAAGCATTATTAATCTTTGCTGGCATCTTCCTTCTATTGTCCTCAGTGCTTCATTAACGCTAAATATTCCACTAAGTGTACAGCTCTCCCTTACAGCGTAGGAGGCATTCTCCATAACCCACAGCTCACCCAAAGAATACTCTTCACAACCACCACTTACCTACAGCCATACCTGTCAACCTCCTAAACATCAAATGTGTAGTAGTGACCTCCAAAATGCATTGCAAAGGCCCAACATTCATAGCAGTCATATGTCACCATGAGAAGCCACAATTGTATGGTTATAACACTGAAAGCATAGTACATAAAAACAAAAATGTTAAGGACTTTCATCTCCAAAATGGTGTATAAAATAAACGTACAACTGAATGTAAAAATAAAATAATGACAGCAACTAAAACAGAAAATAATAATAAGCACATACAAGGACACTTAAAATGTAGCTACAGGAGGCCTCATGAAGAAGAAAAACCAGTCAGAAGAGTCAGGATACATATATGGGAAAGTGAGCTGTCTATGCAGCTGATGTCAGCGAAGTATCTGAGCTGCTGAAGAGATGAGGAGCGCACAAGCAGCCCTGCTGAGATTTCAGTCATGCAAAATATTTAAGAAAAAGCATTCCAGTCAGAGTGTGCAAGATGCTTGCAGGAGGAAAATCTCCATTTCAAATTGCAAACCTGGTCAGTCAATCATATCCTTTAATTATTCATAGGTTTGCTTCATGCTCTTAGGAAATCCTCCGTAACACTACTAGCCAAGTCTTCCACAGCCCAAGCTCTCTAACTCTACCCTACCAGTCAGCCTCCTTAAACCCAGCACTCCACTTCTGAGTTTCCCCAATGATCACCAACACAAGTCCCAGCACTACCTGTCAGATACGTTTCAAGTAGCACACTACTCCTGCACAAAGCTTTCCTGTAACCAGAAATGGATTTCTTCGCGTGACAGAACCACCACCAAATCACTAAGAGATCCAGTCAGTAATCCTTTATTACCTGAGCTTGGACATCAAAGCTTCCATTTATCTGGGTTCCTGCTGCATTCTCCTGCAATGCAGATACTGAGCTATCAGAGAGATCCACTCAACTTCTTTCACAAGTTCTGCAATAGTACTGCTTAAAGAATTACACCTTAGCAAGTCTGTGAAGATGGATCTAACCCCAATATCCTCCCAGCTCTTCTCCAAAAACTAACCCCTGCTGCATACACCTGATGACTAGTGAGCTTGAGGACATGTTCACAGCATAGTGTGCAGCACTGTCTGGAGATACCAAGGAATAAACTGGTTCCAGAATGAGAAGTGGGTTGGTCTCTGTGCATTTCGGTGGCTGGCTGTGCCCTTGCAGCAGTGCTGTCTTGGCACAGCACTAGTCTGAACAAACACGTTCATGCTCTATCTTCATCCTTAATTACGTTACTGCACTGTGGCATTGCTATTCCCTAATTCCAAGCAGTTTTCCAGACATGACTGCAGGAGACGACTGGCATTCTGCAAGTTGCTATGTTTCCCAAACTTCTGTGCTTTTAACACTACAGCAAAAGTTGGGTTCCAAGAACAGTCCCCACTCTATCTAAAGATCTTGCTTTGGTATTTCCAACTTCCATGGAGGCAGAGGGCTGCCCAAGTGCTAAGGTTTGTGCTGTGCTCAGCCTGGCCACTTAACAAAGGCAGTTTCAAAAAAGGGAAGTTGCTGCTTTGTCTTCTGCATAAATTCTGAATTTGTCTAAATTTCTTTTGCTATGCATCAAGGAGGCCACTCCTGCAGTCCCTCATGCCAAAGTACCATTAATGTAATCTGGGGACATGGAGAATGGGTACAAAAAAACTTGGGTTTTGTCTTTGTTCCTCCTCTTTGCCTTTGCTGTCTCAATATATTTTACAGATCAGTGATTTTAAACTTCTCAAAAGGAGACCAGTCCTTAGATGTGACATATAAAACACTTGATGTTCCACAAATTCCAGGCAGAGAGAAAGTAAATTTTATCAGACACCTTTAAAGCAGACAAGAAGCTCTGTGAGATACTGGTGCTGGGTAGATGCACCACTGACTTTCAGGCCTGTCACCAAGTACTGGGTTGGAACTAGATCATCTTTAAATTCCCTTCCAACCAAACCATTCTGTGATTGTATGATCATTCAAAGAGAGGAACTTGGTGGGAGCCTGAGCACAAAGACTTTGAGAGGTCTATAGGTACAGCTCATCGGAAATGTGGTCACCATGTGCAATCAAAACTGTAAACCACTGCAGTGAGCTGTCAGTTGAAACATCTGGGTCTTTGGGCTGGTCACTGAATGGCAGAGCAGAGCCCCACAGGCAACAGGCAGAACCATGCAGCTGCTTTGGCGCAGTTGTAATGCTGTGAGCTCTTCGACAAGCCCCAGTGCAGAAGGCAGTGTATTGAAGGTGACAGGTATATTGACGGTAGACAATGCAAGTCTAGAGCAATGACTAAAGATAAGGAGGAACTGAAGACCTTTAAGCACAGTGCAAGACTTGGGGATCCAGAGAGGATTAGGAGCCCTTCTTTCCAAAGACAGGAAGGCCAGAACAGTGATCAGTCAAAAAGGACGAACACTGGAGAGCAAGCACAACACAACACCTGGTCCCAGCTGAGCACACTACGCTTATTGAGGCACTACTCTTACTGAGGGGGAAAGAGGGACCAGGTTCCAACACTTCCTCTCCCAAATAAGCTATAAAAAAAGTGAAGG